GTAGGACGGACTTAAGCTGTGGAAGCTTTTTGTTACTCCTGTTGCGGCAGCCACTGTCCTCTTCCTTAATGATCATTCCCTGGTGTGGAGATGTCGAAAAGGGTTTTACTACACTGCAAGTTGTTTGGTAGGATCGTGCCCCTGACGAGACTCCTACGACTTGCCAGTCCATTAGGCCTCCTTAGCTATCCTTCGCTTTTTTAGTATTCTCTTCTCATTTTCTATCAATAGCTCGGACTCGTGCTGGCTATAGGTTTAGCTTGATCGGCATGACTCTCTCACTAATATATATATGTTTCCTCGCAAATTCATCCGAGTCCGATTAGAGTAAATTTTTCATCTGATAGAGATTCAGGAATATGAGAATTTATTATGATTTTTGCTTATTTAAATATTGCACGGTGCAAATATCACTCGCGAGCGCCGTTCTCGGCTTTCACCCCATTTTCTGCTGGTTTTCCGCGGATTAAAGACGAGAAATTGTAAATTTCGATATGCTTTCTCCTCACCAATTACAATTTTAAATTACCAATTACAGGGGGAAAAAATTACCAGTCGAAGCTGAAGGCAGAGGAAGAGCGGAACCTTCCCCGGTCGCGGCGCGAGGCGAACTGAAGAACGACGCGGGAGGGCGAGGGGGTGGGGGGGGGTCACGTGGTGGATGACGTCACGGCCGGAGGAGCGGAGGAGGCTGGCGATGCGGCAAATCGCGAAAAAATTCGCCGATCGACGGCTGAAGGCAGGAGACGCGGCCCCTACGCGTGGGATCCGCTTTTCTCGGTACGAATATATCTGGTACTTGAAGGCATCGGGTATATTTTATGTATTTTACATTTTCACTGGTGAATTGCTGATTCAATTCCTGCTTCCAAAAGAAGTTACATTCGATGGATTTCGGCATCTCAGCTTCTCTTCGCGGTGAATTCAGCTCTCGGGAGCGAAACCGCAATTGAGCGAGAAACTCAATTGTGGTTTTCTCCTCTTTTCGACAGAAGCACTCGTGCAGTGCACTCAGAAAACGAGACGTGTCGATCCTTGGTGCAGAGATGGTCGACTGAATTCGACCGAAAGAATTTTGCCGGATAACTCAGGTGAGGATCTCTAACTGCTTCACCTTGGGACCCTTTTCAAGTAAAAAAAAAATAAATAAATAAATAAATAAACACTCCCCATGACAGTTAAATACGACATTGGAAATCACTGATAAAATTTGAATACATAAAGTTCATTCTATACTTCAAATAGAAGGGTTTATATAATAATAAAAAATCATCTCGGTATCCAATAATCAGAAGTCAGCTCGCGAGCGTCTAAACGGGCGATGCCGCGTCGCACGGAAATCTTCCCCGACGCAGAACTTCCAGAGTCCGACTAGCGCGATCATACTTCAAATACACCGCAAAAATGCCTACGGATGGAATCGCCGTCACCGAAGCGACGCACGGTGGAGTTCCCGCGTCGCGGTCCGGAGCAGCCGGAGCTCCGACTGTATCGCGTCCGTGACGGCTCGCCTCTTCTGCATCGCCGACGCTCCGTCCTCCCTCAGCCGCCTGAGCAGGGCGGAGAAGTCCATCGGTCGACCGAGGTTGAGCGTGACCCGGTTGCCCGTGCGGGGGACGTAGGGCTGGCGGTTGGGAAGGACCGCGTCCATGCCCTCCTGCCACATGGGGACGACCAGCGGCGGGTCGGAGAGCTCGGAGATCAACCGACCGACTCCCCACTTCAGCCTCATCGGCTCGTGGTCGGCGTTCACGCGTCCCTCGGGGAAGATGTGCACCCACTGTCCCCGATTCAGCATCTCGAGGCAGAAATCCATTGCCTTCTGCAACAGGGGATAAAGGAATGTTTCCAGTTGAGCTAGAGGAGGGAAAAAAGTCAGGTCGTGAAATCAAAACAGATCTGGAGAATAAATATCAGCTCATCCTTCTAGCCTGCTTGATTGCGTTCAAAAGATGCTATACCGTAATGTATTTAATTAACAAAAACAACCATATGAACGGGTTTAGCACCAAGAGGCAGGGTATCCTAATTCATAAAGGAAAAACTTTCAAACAAGACCAAGCAAAAATCTTGTTTGGAAATCAAAAAATTAACATCAACATTGACCTCAATCCCAAATTCATAGTCATCATGACACTGTGATTAAATCAATGATGATGATCACCATCATCATAATGATAATTATACTGGTATGTAATGCAATTTCATAATAATGGTATGCAACGCTTCCTCCAACTGCTCAAATGACACCACTTATAGAAGTTTGTTTGCAGCTGCCCAAGTATTTATTCAAAGAAAAAAAAAATATGTAGGATGTTTTAATGATGTACTTGATAGACTACAGGGCACTTAGCAGAAAAACGATGTAATACATGAAGGGGCTAAAAATCTGGCCAAAAGCAATATAGTTGCCTGTGCAAGTCATCCCTTTCTTTCCACAAATCAGGCCCGTTCTTCGCATCGTCTCTCGCCGTCCATCGAGGATGACGCATTGATCTGCCATTCAATTCATCACTTCAGGCAATGGTCAGTGTACACAGGCTTGTCCTCGGTTTTTTTTTTTTTCTTCTGCTGATAGCACAACTGATGGTCTCAAAGATTGACAGTTACATGTCACATGTCAGATGATTCATGTTCACTTTTTGAAAGATTTATGTTCAGATGATCGACATTTGCATGACTGACCTTCTGTAGCTCTAGGGTCAACAAAATGCACATTGGGATTCGAACTTTTCGCATCGAGAATTCGTCCTTTCCTTCAGGGTATCCGTGAAGCGATCGTCGACGGGCTACGAGTTTTACTATGTAATCTGAAGCAGCCATTTATTTTGCATTTGTATTCTATCTCCAGACTTCACAATGTCACATCATTCCTTCTCCTCTTTAGTGTCACTAAGGATGAATTTCTCTTAACCTTGTTTGCATTTATGAAAGCCAACATGGCACTGCAGCAGGTCTTCCATCGGTACTCATGCAAAATTCAAATTCAACAGAGATGTTATCCAATTCTCCAGTTGAGGAACAAACAGATCTTCCCACATTTGATGGTCATTTTCTTGACTCAAGGTTAAGGATAGGAGCTTCATAAGACATACAGAGGTTGTCGATATTACCATCCTTTCAATCGGCTGCAAAAGTCATCATAGTCACATGATTATTTCTGTCCTGGAAATTTGGCATCAAAGAATGTGCTACAGCTCCTAGCTAATTCGCTTAAACACAAATAGGGATCGAAGAAATTATTTTTTCACATCAAAGTGGAAAGAGGAAAGACGTAACAACATTCCGAGGTCCACAGTAAGTCGGTCTATGAACAGAAAATAAATTGTTATCTCAGATTCATTCATAAAAAGCTGTTCATCATCTCCTTATGGACACATTGTAGTTTCACTTTACAATTTTCACTTTATATGCATAGCAAATGCTAATAAAAATGAAATTAAAACTTCATAGCTTCAATCATCAATGACCTAATGAAAAAGTCATGCTTCATGCTCCAAGATGAGGTTTTGCAGCATGAAAACAAAATGTTCATTCAATATCTGGGACTGGATATTTGAACTCCCATTCAGCTTGATCATGCCACAAAGGAGTCTAATTACCAGAGAGTAAAATGCTACTCAGTCAGTCATTGGTTATCTGACACCAGAATATCACTAGAAAGGGAATGAAGGCTATGTATGTACTTGATAGACCCCAGAGCCTCTGATGACGGGGATGCATCGTCCACTGCTGAAGAACCAGGCGTAGAAGGGATTGGTGAAGCAGATGTCGTGAGCGGCAAGAGCCCACCGCATCTTCTGGGGATTCATCAGCGTCTTCATCCTGAGCACTCCTGCAACAACCCAATGCATCTTGCAGGTCTAGGCATACCAAATGCATTGATTTCATTTCAAAAACACACTTGAAAGAATATTATTTATTCTGGTGTCTCTTTAAACCTAGCTGATATTCAATGTCACTTAAGACAATTTTGAATGCTTATATTCAGAAACACACTAATATAATCAATCATCCAGAAAATTTTCCAATAATCTAGATATTACAGGTGAATAATTTTGCTAAGACTGAAAATTTCAGAATGCCATTATGCAATTTTAGCAATAGTTTGAGTGACCACTAAATCCCTGGCCAGGACTGCCTCTGTCCCAAAGCAAAGCTCCTGTGAGTTCTGGATCCTTCCAAAATATGTCTCCCAACCTGACTTTTGGCTACTGAGACTGACTGCAGTTCAAGAAGGTATTGATATAATATTTTTTCATGGAAACTTTTGTTGGCTTTCAAGTCTTCCTTATTTTAATTTATAAACCTCTGAACCACTATTGCTAAGCAATGATACAGGGATAAGACGAACAAATTCAAACCTAACCCAATGTCTCTACCACAGTTATAAAATTTAAGATAAATTTATTCTTTAAAGACCAAATATTACCTGCAGGTGCATTGCCTTTAACTCTTAATGTATGAAATGATTGTAGCTCCAGACTGAATCTGGTCTAGCATATTAGCTAATAAACGGTCACACTGTTTATGCAATAATTGACTTGACATGAAGTTATTTTCTATTTGTGGCTGAAAGAAGCACCATATTTGATTTCCTAGTCAATGATGAATGCTAATGATCTCTATACCCCAAAGAAGAGGGTCATCCATGCAGCTGAGATGATTGGAAATGGTGATCAATGGCTTCTTTGGTGGCCTATTCTCAACTGCTTCTATGAGGATCTCTTTGTTGTGCACGTTCAACTGGTTGAACCATGCTGGGAAGTAGAAAGGGTCAAACATCAGCAACACAGAGCCTGGATGACTTAGAAAAAAAAGGAAAATGAGACTCACTCATCCAGATTTTGCTGAAGCATCCCACAAGAGCAATGGCTGCAGTGGACCTGACCCTCCACGCAAAGGAGGAGGGATATGGAGCAATCCCCTTTTTGACCTCTGGGAATGGCCATTTGAAACCTGAGTGTGCACTGACATCCATCAGCTTCTTTGCAAAGGGGGATGCAATGGACATTGTGTAAAACCAGGGTGGGTTGATCCGATCTGGACAAAAACAATCTGCACCATCCCAGATATAGTCTTAGTTAGCCTAAAGTGGTTAAATGGCTATGACAGGCCTCAATGTCCACAGTGAGCATATAAGGCTTGATCTAAAAGTTTTAGGACATGACTTACCATTTTGTGGTCTGGGGTCTTGCAGTTACTTGCTGGGGCCACAAGTCCCCTAAGGAGCCCACACACCTCTGCCAGCAGTCATGTAGCTTCTAGAAGCACCTCATAAAGGGATGACTATAAGTTCAGGCATAGCATTTGTTTCGATAGGTTGGACATCCTCAAATCTTCAGCCTTTCAGATGCATTTTCAGATTATGGAACAGGAAAAAATTACACATGGCCATATTTGGTGAAGAAGGCAGGCGTTTAAACTCCGTAGTGTTGAAAATGCATCTGAAAGGCCAAAGATTTGAGAACATCCACACTATCCAAACAAATGTGATGCAAATGTGATGAACTCCTAGCCTTTACAATGGAGGACTTCATAAGATGCTTCCAGAAGCTGCAGGATCAATGACAGAGGTGTGTGTACACCCAAGGGGACTACTTTGAAAGTGACCCCCAGCAAGTAACTCTGAGACTCCAGTCCACAAAAAAGGTAAGTCATGTCCAAAGCTTTTGGATCAACCCTCATATATTCATGGTAAAAAACTTAAAGCGCTTTTTTGGGATTCTGAAATCCTTTCCTCATGTAAGACTTCCCTCCACAGATGACTTCATTTCATCAGCTCTCTTTCTTAGATTATTTCTGTACCTTACTCAACATGGATTTGACATGACTACAAATGATTCCTCAACCTACATGTACACCATTCCAAAATTAGTATTGCACTTGCTAAAATGCAACAAGCCTGTTTCATAACTCTCAGTATCATATTTCCTGCTCCTCCATGTGTCCAACTTAATAGTTCAATTTCTAACTGGAAGTACGTCTCTTCCTGCTCAGGTTGGGTGTGATATAATTTCCCAATAATTACCTGCATTTTCCTTCTCCATGAAGAGAAGACGATACAGAACCTGAGCGTAATATCCCCAAAAATATTTGTGTTCTAAGTATTCAGAGGGATAAGGCAAAGCTCAACAAAGGTCATGTCGGGACAAGTTATTTTCATTAATCCAAAGAAAGATGTTAGTTGTAAACTGTGTTCAAGAAGAGGATGCATCTCTCATGACATAAATGATACTTAACAACTGTCAAAGGTGGTACAATTTCAGTGGCAGACCGACTTACCTTAGGCATTACGTTACACTTCTAATATATGCCAAATATCACGCCTAAATCTATCAGGTAGCTAATCGATATCATTTAAAGGACTAGCCTGCACAGGCCCTGAGTGAAGCCCACGCCTAGGTTAGGCCTATTCATGGTCAACAGGTAGGCCGAGCCAGATCCTGTGCTTCCTGAATCAGGCTAGTTTGAAGAGGCCATGAGGTTCCATGTGAGGAGCCATGTTTGTAAAATATAGAGGTTGGCGCGGCTTGTGAAGAAGAAACCGCGGTCCTGTTCTAATCTGCGGGATGCAATGAGTCCGGTGGACGTCGATGCTCCTTGCTTCACCTCTATTTCCTATTTCGCCTAGGCAGAATCCTGGAAGAAATTCAATTCAGTAATTCAGTAGGCAACAAATAAATACGGGAATGAACGCAATAAATTTCGACTATATTCAAAACTCCTACTTCATTAATACACACTGGAAATAATGGTTGACAGGGCCAAGCACTTCGTCTCTCGGGCGGTCATCTGAAAGGCCACTTAGGAACCGGCCATAAACCACTTGGTCATCTGAGTCCCCTCTGCTCGCCATCCGTCTCCAAACGACGCTTTTTTTTTCTTCAAACAACGAAAATGAGGCGTGGTATTCATATTTCGAGCAAACAGAGACGAATGCAAACATGTCGCTAACAGGAAAAAAACAGAGTCAAAACATCACTTCCCATCCCAGAGGGCAAACATTAAATCCTCAGTGATTTTCAAGGTAATAAAATCAAGTGGAGTGGCAATTTTTCACCTTACCGTTTCCCTCGTGGATACAAAAAGAAGAATTATAAAAATATAAATGAATGAATGAATGAAAGAAAAAGCCACGTGGAAATCCGCGAGACCCCCGTGTAGAAAATTGCGGTTTTCCTCTGACCCCCCTCCCGCGGACGCGTGGTTTATGGACAGGCCCCGGATATATCGCGTTCTGTCGATTACCGCCGGCCTGTTCTCGCTTTCGCGGCTGGAGAATTATTGGACGTGTCGAAATTTGTCGTTGCGCAGCGGGTTTACGGGAAAATGGGTCGAGATCCTGCGATTGTTTTTTTTTTTTTGTTCTCGCTGGGGTGATGAAATGAAACGGAGATAAGATTTTAGATAATGAATTTCATTTCAGCTAATGAATTTCAAATAACGAATTTCGGCTAATGAATTTCATTTTGGCCGACAAATTCCGCTTGCAAAAATTGTTTTCATCGTTTGACGTTGGTTCGACGTTGAGGCAACGTTGAGGCAACGTTGAGGCAACGTTGAGGCAACGTTGAGGCGTCGAGAGGGACGGGGGACATGCCCTCGCATGTCCTAGAGGCCATTATCCCCGGCCTTTTTTTTTTTTCTTCCGGACGTCGTAAAGTAAGAGGCTTAACTGCTCGGGTCGCGCAGGACGGAGCGATAACGAGGAGAGAACTCTCCGATCGGGATCAGATAACAAAAAAGAGGGAAGGAAAAAAAGAAAGAGAAATGAGAAACTTAACAAGAAGAAGAAAAAAGAAAATTTAACAAAATTAAAAGGAAAAACTGGAATTAAAAATATAAATGAAGGAGGAAAAAATGGAAAAAGAAAAAGGAAAAATTGGGGGAAAAAAGAAAAAAAAAGAAAAAAAAGGGGGAAAAAGTAATGTAAAAAGAAAAAAAAGGAAAAGAAAGAGAGAGTGTCGTCGTGGCGGAATTGAATGAAAACCCAAAGAGTGGAACAATGTCCGAGTCACCCGAGTTTCCCAGAGGCTTTTAATGATCCCGCCGTGAACTTCCCATGAAACCTTCATCCGGGGTTTCCCAT